AATTTGCAAAATTTTCTTGTATTCATGCTTTAATTATTTAATTTTTCGATGCTATAATAGTCTTATTATATAAATTTACATAGAATATTATTACAATGTAATTATATAATTATTAAAATATAATATAATTATTGAAATACAAATAATAAGAAAAAATGAAATTTTTATACGCTTATTTTAAACTTAAAAAAGATAATCATCTTTCTATGATCAAAAGTTATCATAGAAATTGTTTGCTAAAATTATGTTAAAATTGTTACTATGTTACATGATGTTACATGATGTTTTATAAAACGTATTTTAATAATTTTAAAAATACTTGAAATTATATATTTTATAAAAACAATTTAACGTAACAAAACAGATATTAAATTTTTATTTAATAAATAATATATTAATAAAAAAATATTTCAACTTGCACTCAAAAATAAAAATGTTTTATAAACTTTAAAAAAAATTTTTAACATTTTTTCAGAGATGTGGTGTCGAATGTGACCTGGTCCTTCGTTATATATTAGAAGTAGTGTATTGTCATGTCAGGGTTTCGACGACGTGAGGATGATGAATATCCTAGCAGTCTGAAGAGTCACAAATTGTTTCGTGCGTCGCGCGCCTGTGACCGAAATATCTTTCTTATATTTATTAGCGTGACACAGCTACCAAATTAAATTAGCCAATCTCACTTTTTTAGACATTACAAGTCTACACGAAAGCTATCGAAATAGTATTTTATTTATTTCGCAATTATTGATATAAATTTTATCTTTTATTAAAAATACTTTTAGAAAATATTAAAATAATTATAAATTTTATTATTAATTAGAGCTGCTTAATTTTCAACGTATATAAAACCGAAATCACGTATACAGTAAACCAACTATAATTAAACTATCAACCGTCAAGTTGTAATAAAAACCGTAGAATGTTGGTACCTTGGTACCTCGAGGCCAGCGAGACACGCAAGTACATAGAAAGACCCGTCAAGAGCGTGGAAGGAAAAAAAGGCAGAAGGCACAAAACAACCTATCCAGGGGATAGAAGGAGGTTGCTTGCCTCTGGATAGTATAGAAGGTGGGTACCGAGATATAATACCCGACTCCTACGCGACGATAAGTGTCAACTGCAGCGTGCCAGATAAAAAGAAGGAACGAAAAATAAAATTCACACTGGTGATCCATCATGAGGCAGTGGACTCGGGGCGCGCAGACTCGCCCACGATTGGCTGGCACCGCCCAACCGCCATCACGTGACTACCTCTAAATACCGCCCATCAATAATGGTGACTCCCCCTGGAACTAACCTCACGCAGCGCAATACCTCCACTCTACGTCTGGGTGATACACCCAAGCAAGAAAGAGAAGGGAAACTTAAACACGCCAGACTACTGCGGGTCAATCTCACCTGTGTGCAGCTTTCCGCTACGCTAGTCCACCTCACCAGTCCACTCCAACGACCCATGTTGGACGGATCGACTGCACGAGTGTCCGCATGGATTATTTTTGCGGATGGTTAACGTTTCATAGTGCCCGCGTATTAGTACCATTAGCTATTCTTTAAGAACTTTCAACCGTTTAATCAAAATATATCAAATCCAAATTTAGATTTAAAAAATTTTACAAAGCTGTGGCATACTTTCTGTGTAGTTTTAGTGCATATCTGTGACAACTTGAAGATTTAATACTTAATTACTTACTGTGATTTTACATTTTGTGCAGTTGTGGACATTCATTATTTTGTTTGAGACTTTTATTCACGATCCTACTAAGTACTGATTAAGTCTGTGCTTACTATTAATCTTTTTAACAAGACTATCTTTTTAACAAGACAAATTTAAATGTTTACTTTTCGATGGTATTTGTACAAAAGTAAAAAATTTCAAATTTGTACAATGTTAAAATAATTAATTAATGAAGCAGTGTATAATTTTTGCCATGATGTAAATCATCTCTCGTATCTCTACTCCTCTCGGACAATACGCATCGTAGTTACCAAAACAGTGGGTGGTCAATTGATTCGTCTCTCCGTTACGAGGATGATGATGATGGACATGGGCATGTACGGGACCTACGGCAAACCTGACTCATATCCTAACTATGTGTTTTCGGGTCAAGGAAATCATCACCATCATCACCATCATCAGCCCTCATCTGTCGGTGGTCACGTGTCGGTGTCTCCTTCCCCAGAAGTAGCTCCAACTCATTATTATCCTCAAACTGCAGTGGCGCCATATTCTTCATCGTCTTCCGAGAGTTTCCTAACCGCCGATTCGGGCACGTCGTCCAGTACGCCGCCTCAAGGCTTTTACTCTCCGACGGGTGCCGTTCTCCACGAGAACGGCTCCACCACGGCGATTATCTCTTCGGAGAATGGTCTAAGCTACACCAATCTAGATTATGCGTCGTCTTCATCATATCCGAATCAACAACAACATGCAGTAGCCTCAGTGGATCCACATCAAAATTATCACGTTCAACAGCCTGCTTACCGGGAGGATCATCATCACCATCACCATCATCACCATTCATCTAGCAGCAGCAGCCTTCATCAAATCACGGTACCCCCAACTAGTCATCCAAGAACGGAACATGATCAGCAACTCCATCATCAATCCTCTAGTCATCACCACCACCATCACCATCATCATGAATCCGATTATCCAATAGCAGTTGGTGGAACCTCGAATTATCTTCATCAACTATCCTCTTCGGATGAATCTTTGCATTATCAAACGCAGATTCAACAGAGCGAGTTTTCCACACATCCGTCGGGGCATTATAAAGAAGAGAATTCGGACACAACTACTTATCACGTTCTACAGCAGTCCAGTCATCTTCAGCATCCCCATCAGCACGGGCATCATCATCATCATCATCAGCAACATTCGCACACTCATCATGCGCAGCAGCAACAACAACAGCAGCAGCAACAGGCACAAGTGCCCACCTACAAGTGGATGCAGGTCAAGAGAAACGTACCCAAGCCAGTCGGTAAGTGGCCACTGTCCACACTTCGTTTAAATTTCCGGTTGAGTCGGCGCCTATGCACAGCGGGCAAACTAGCGTGAAATTAGGTATTCTGTGGGCACGATCCGGTAGCCACGTTAAATCTCGTTCATCGTTTGATTAACGTACGAATTAACTTAAAGTACGAAGATGCAGAATCATGATTGTCTTATCTTTCGCGGCTCCGTTATTCGAGAAGCTATCATTACCGGTGCCATCCTTTTTAAAGATATATTAAGTGAGAATTCAATTTAATTCCACTTTTTCCTATAATAAGTCATGAATATTAAAAACTATACGTACATCTTTATCCTAATTGATTGAAGTGTTAATATCAAAAACATTTACAGAGAAATATGTAATTGCAATTTATATTATGATTCATTTCAATCTTTACTACAGTTTAATGCAATTTATATTTACATTCACGCATTTCATATATTTTGCATCTGGTTAATTTATATTAATACATATACATTAATATTACAAAGTATTTAAAGTTAAATAATTCTTTATTTTATAACAATAAAATAATTTCTATAAAAAGTTACGAAAAACATTTATTCGATGATTGCAACCAAAGCAATCTCAGTTCCTGGAAGCACAATTTGATCCAATCCCGTTTTATTGAGGATACCTTACATAAATTCAACACATTGAAATATCAGTATTAATAAAGTGTAACGTTTGATCAAAGATCAACAATTTTTACGTAGATGGTCTTCAATTAAGATTGACAAACAAGGCGGACAGTTTGTCAGAGACAGAATGTGACATGCTACTCCGTAATCGCCAAGTCAGTGGCTTTCAAACAATCTGTATGTATGAGAATTAATAAAGTGCGACACGTAATCCCGGTTTGCCATAATCATTAATCATACGCGCACTATCCAATAATATCAACCTTACGAGACCTTAATCATTAGTTTGCAATTTACTACTACATTTCTTATTGATTTTTTCTTTATCTTATCTGGAGTCTTTAAGAGATAATGTTAACATAAATGTAGTCGTCAATTCTAAGAAATTAAATTAGATTTATTATACTCTCAATGTAAATTACATTTATTAGATAATATTGATTCGGTCGTTCTTGAAACTTTCATAGAAATATTTGTTAATAAGATCTAAAACAGAATTACTATTTTATCATAAACGCGATCATAATAAATGAACAGTAAATGAGTTTATAATAACAGACTTGTATTATCATTCATGAAGTCTAATCATACAGATTTTGAGATAAATAATGTTTTCCAAGATATCTCTGTGACGAAAATTTATCAGTAAACATGATATCTTGCCATACAATTTAACTTTCATTTATATCTAAAAGATTGTCGTAAAGTCAATAGACAAGATTGTGCGCATAATACAAATAACAGAAAATTTTTGATATTTAAAAATAAATCTGTTTATTGTAGCTTAATTACACATTGATGCTTAAAATAAAATAGATAGATGTTTACAGTTTAAAAAAAGAGAGAAAGAAAATTTTAGTTCTGTCTAGTACAATCGGCAATAATGGCAATAATGGCGATCGGCAATAATGAATAAATCTGATATTTTTCCATCGTTTTCATATATCAATTAGATATTTATAAACTTATTTAATTTTAGAAATATATTTTTTATATATTGGAAATTATATATTAAATAATCATATCAATTACACTTTTGCTTAAATAATTAGATCATTATTTTAATTGTAATTAGCTGATAACAAAAAATAATATGATTATTATTATATCTTGATTTGTCTTTTTTCTCTGTATTATCTATATTTAAAAAATAAAAGATATATAAATTTTTATATATCTATTTTTATATAATTTTTATATATTTATAAAGATATTTAAATATAATTTGCAAATCTATATAATTAATAAATTATTTTATGCTTAAATAATAAGTGCTTTTCTGAGAAAGATTTTAATCATGTAATTCTTTCTTTCATTTCTTATGTGATAAGAAAATCATATTTGAAAGGAGATTTAAATAGTAAGAATATACAAACTTTAACACAATCTTTATGTGTTAATATGTGTCTCTATATTTATAATTACAATCGGATCTATATTGTATAATACCATGACATAAACGGATTGAGATAAGATTTGTGATTAAATAAACTTGTCTTGTACTTAAATTTAGATTAATTTACACTTAGAAAACAACGTAATTAAAAATAATCTTGTTAATTCAATATCAACATTAATAAAAGAAATATGTATATTATATCTTGAATCAACAAGATTATTTTCAATTACACTTGATGCTATTGAATCAACATAATTTTTTCCATATAGTAATAAAATTTATTAAATATATTTGTATTACAATAAAATTTTAATATGTTAATTATGATGAAGAAAAACGTATTTATATTTTCCTTATTATCCCAATTATATTTGCATTATTATATTTCCTTGTTTACGATATAAACATTTTTAATAGAAGGCACTCTTGTATAAAGATTTGTAATAATCAATATTTTTTAATTAATTATTCGTTACTTAAATAAAATGTATGTGAAAAGAATACAAATATTTTATAACTTCCAGTATATATAATTAAATTAATTCAATATAAATTAATTTATAAAATTTCATCAATTTCAATTGCTTACTACTTAAAAAAGATTTATATGCAGAATTTTATTATAAATAAAAATCAATTTAAAATTGATTAATAAACACTTATAAAGTCTAATAGCTTAATTTAAAAATTATAATAAATATTATATATATATAATATGTGGCATATATGTTATGATTTTTGTAACCAATATCTTGATAGATCTCTTGTATCATAAAATATTAATATATTATATTAATGTTAAATTGATTTTTATTTATGCAGGCTATGAAAATATAACGTAACGTAACGTAGCTCATTGAAAATAATGTTTAAAAAGGCCGGAACAGTTCCCCTAACTTCACACTAATTTGCTTAACGGCCGTGGTGCTCCCCGCAATCTCCTAACTCGGAGAGTGTAAGCTTAGTCGTTGGATAGAGCTTGTCTGGATTACCAGCGTTTCACTTAATAGCTCATTATAATCGAATTAATAACGCCATCACAGGCACTAAAGGAACTGACGTTTATTGCAGTGAAGCATGCAAACTGAAATGAAACTTTGTCACCCTCGTTTAACCCCTTTCGTTTTTACTCTTGCTGTTACATTTTGATGTTTACATTTTTATATTAAAAGCAATTTAATTTTTTTAACTCGTTGATCACAATTTTGCACAATATATTTGTAACAGTTACACGTAATTAAAATTTTTTAAATATTTTATAAATTTTTTGTAATAACTATCGTTTACAATGTATAATACAGAGATAACGCAGTATCAATACGATATTATGTTATATAGGTACAAAATAATATAGAATTGATATTCAAATAAATAATAAAATACATATATAATATATATTACGTATAAATCGTATATAACGACAGCCATGTTATCATTAAAAAAAATGGAAATTATTTTTAAATATACTATAATTAATTGAACGCGATTATATTTAGAGTTGATTGAGAAACATAACATATAACGAATAAACATTACAACGAGAAAATTCGAAGGAAATAACAAGATGGGCGGAGCAGAGCAGTGGGATGATTTCGCTAGATTTTGGTTGGTTAACTTTTTTGGTTGGCCAAGAACTTACAATAGCGCTCCTTTTTCCCCTCTCTGCTTCCATACATGCTTCAGGGGGTCCAGAATAGAGGGTCTCTATAGGGACGCGCCCGGTGCGGACCACCCTTAGCCAAGATTAGAGAGAGACAGGAGAGACCGTCGTGATGCTGTCAACCCGCCCAATCTATCATACTAAACTCGATTTCTTCTCTCTATACTCAATAGCGGGATTGGCAATACCGCGCAGAGAAAAACGAGACAAACGAACGTCCCTTCGTAACATAGCAGTAATAATTCCATATCTTTGTCGTAGTAAGAGATGGAGAATTTCGTATATTTTCGGAGACCTTGATTTGTCAGCTTGTTACAACGCCTTAACGTTACAGAAAAATATATCATGTTATTCGTATATTATGATATTTAATGTTCAAGATTATACGGAAAGAAAGATTTTATTGAAGTGTCTAAAAGTTTGCCTAGATCTGAAAATAATTTTGTTGAGCTATCAAAATTATTACGTAAAACGTTTAACTAATAATACTGCAAAATTTTTTTATATTCTAGCAATCAATTTGAACTATATATGATAATCCTATATGATTAAATTTGGTGGTCCAACAAAATAATTTTCAGATTTATATCTAGTCAAATTTTTACATATTTCAGTAAAATTATTCTTTTCATGTACAATGTATTTAGTATTATGTATTATTAGTAAAAGATAAAAATATTTTAAATCTTATAATTTCAACATTTTTTTACTTAACGAGACATTTTCATAATATGATATTATATATAGATGTTTTAATTTACGTTGCATAATAAGCAAAAATTGATATTGTTATTAGTCGGCTATGATTATTAGTTATAACAGTTCTTATATTATTATTTAATCTCAGGCAAGTACAGCATAATATTCTTAACTCTCAACTATGAACTTAATATAATTTCATAAAACTGTGATTTTAAACTATTTTATAACATTTTATTTATTACACATTTGTAAATTACAAATTACTTTGACAATAATAATTTTACATTTTAGATTGAAAATAGATTTATATCAATATATATAATATTAAATTTCACACAATTTCTTCACGACTTTACAGAGAGAGTCGTTAAATAAAATTGTATAATTTACATGTAAAATGTAGTATATGAAATAATTTATTTATAGTTTTTGAGTAATAATAAATTGTTATGCTGTGTTTGTAGTAATAAGATATGTAATTAATTTAATATTTTATAATCAAGTAAGTAAATGATAATATGTCTTCTTTGGATATTTTCATTAGCAAAAAAATTAAATAAAGATGGACCACTATCTTTGCTCATAACAAATATGAAATAAATAATATTTATCAGAAGCACACGTCATGGATTGCTTCCCACGTTCGGCGTTACCCTGCTTCCTCGAAGACTATCACCTTTTAGGCTGACTTAAAATATGCATGTCGTTATCGACGCCCTGACCGAATATATGCAGGGGCGAAGCTAAAACCTTACCATCAGTTCGTTCACTTCCTTACATTCTCTTTGTGCGCACAAATGTAATTAAACATGTTATTCATAATCACGCAAACTACATAAAAATTAAATATGAAAAAAGAGGCGACGTATAGCATGTTATGTTTTAATGAAAGTTAAAAGACAGGGACATATTTATTAACAATATATTGTTCCGTAACAGCTTATAAATATTGTAAAAAAATTTGTGAAAATTACAAATATATTGCTCATATTTCTTATATACGATGATTATAGCCTTATAGTCACAAGAAATTTCCTTACAAGCTTTATTGCAACATATTACTTGTGCATAAACAAGGTACTATGTACCGCCTTATCGATTGATAAACAAAAATGCTTCGTGACTATGCTCGCACGAACGCAATAATTCGCTGGCCTACAAGGTTTGGATTATCCCAACAAACGCAATAAGTGCACTAGCTAATTGTAAAATCTCAAGAAAATCTCTGATCAAGTTATCCCGCGGGACTTAAACCACAAAACGGGGCGTCGCCGAGCGTGCACGCCAGCCCTGAACTTGAGAGAGAGAGAGAGAGAGAGAGAGAGAGAGAGACGAGAGAGGCAGAGATTGTGGGTAGAGTCGAACAACTGGCTGGGCATGTTGCTCGCCGCTCCGCAAGGGTCGCCGGCGGACGCGTGAGTGAGTGGCCCGATATCTCGCGAGGGGATCAGAGGATCGTTCGCGTGTTTCCACCCGGGCTGCCACCCGCCGAACCCGGCAACCCCGGATCCCGCAACACAACCCTGGCAGCAACTGACCCTCCTCTGGCCGCCTTCCCCCCCTCCCCCCTCTGCCACCCCTTCAACGCGCCGGCAGCACTGGCTACCACCGCTTTACTCCTGTCCGAGCGCGGCCCGACAGATCCGCTCGGCCGGACTCCGACAACCGCCGCCGACGCTGTCCACGTGTCTCGCCTCACGGTGATTTTCATTTCCGCGCCGCAACCGCTGCCGACGGCTGACTGTGTAATCTTCCTTCGCGCGGCTCAATTGCTCTGGACGGTATTTACACGTTACTTTCGACTGCAACAGGGTACTATTATGAACTTAATGAACATTCTTCTTCATCCTCGAACTATTAATAATTTTTTTTTACTAAACTTGATGATAATAATACGTGGTATCTTATCACTAGAGATGAATAATAGCTTCTTTGACTTTGACAAATTGTAAATTTACAAAGGACAAAATAGTCGAGCTTTGCAATTAAATCGTAAAAATAAAAATAGACTGATTGAGATTTTGAAATGTATCGAATCATATTGAACCGAAATTGCGAATCAAATGAAGAATTGTACAAAGAAAGTCTTCACTCCCCCAAAACGACACCTGTGCCACCACTCGGGGTGGATTGTTGCGAAGAAAGCGCGCGAAACTTATCAACGACCCCCACGAGGTGTCGTGCTGAGCCTAATTTCGCTGGGAAAAATGCTTCGGGCATACTCACGAATGCATACATACAAACATAAACGCAGGGGAAGTGTGAATGTGTGAATGTCGAACGTGCTGCACGCAGCCCTTCCACGCGTATGCCGTTATGATACACAACATTGCCTTTTCGTATGCGACTGTGACTCAGGATATTACCTATCATAATACTGAAATCAACGCGGCCGTCGGGGCATGACAATGACTGACAGGGGGTTGCGAATGAAAGGAACTATGCCGACAAAATCGTTTTGTCAGTTCTTGCGATAAACTTGTGGCTAGATATCTCTAAGAAAATCTTCGTGCGAATCAAATCGTTCGAAAAGTTTTATTTACTTGTTTTAAATTATCGACAGATAATGAATTAAAAAATTTAATTTCAACGAGTCCCATAATTTTTATGTAAACGCACATTATACATGAGAAATTCATGAATTTCATTTGGAATTTTTGGATTTATGCTTTGAAAGCGCTGGCAACTACTTATGGCAAGTCGATCCCTTGATTGTACGAGATCATCTGCACTTATACGAGCTCTTATGCGTCGATAGCCTCCCCCTTTAAGAAACATTACGCAATTCAAATATTATTCAAAGGCTAAAAGCCGTGGGGACAGCATGACGTAAGGAAAGGTGATGGTAAACATAGGAGAATACAAGATGCTTGTGTATTATGTTACAGGAAGGATAGATACGGGTACACGTTGATGCTTTTCCTAATTCACAGAATTTTCTTCGGATTTCGGACTGAATTGTATATTTGAAACAAAAATAACTATCTAGACGCGTCTGAAGACATTTTTAATTGTAGTTTGCGGCAACTTTTTTATTAATGTTAAACGTATGTATCAATATATTCAGGATCCAGCTGTATTTGATTTATACCTAATGTCTAGATTATACGCATCAACGCCAGTCACTCAAGTTCCTAAGTAAATACGTTCATTGTGATGATTTTAAGATAATTTTACCCCAGTTTAAAAAACAACGATATTCTCACGACTTACGAAAAGAACATTTTGCAGATATAATTATAAAATTCTATGGTGCTACGTAATTTAAATTGCATTTAACATTAAATAAAATTTTCATAATAATTCTTTTATATTAGAAAATTTATTCAACAGTTAAATTTATTAGCGCGATTAAATCCCTCGCGGGAGATTTGGTAGTAACGGTATAATTACAAGTATCGTGAAAGGTGACTACGAGGGTGCAACTACATGTCTTATGGAAGATAATTAGAGGTGTCAGTGCGTTTTCCTTGACTCAGCATTATTAAGGACTCCCTATTCCTTCATGTTAACCCTTTCCTCTATCTTTGTCTATATCACATTTATTTGCAAAGCAAACGCTTCTGACATTAAGGCTTGTGACTATTAATTTCTACATGTAATATAGCGTTGAACTTAGGGTAAAAGAGGCCGCTGACGTAAGAATATTCGATGCGTGCTCGCGATATAATTTCTGCGTAACATGCACGAACGTAAATTTGTCGATAATTCCGTTGAAAATCGATCTTTATTTACATTTGAAAATACAAATCCGAAGCAAATCTTCTTGTAATTAAAGATCATCTCATACATCTCTTTCATATTTACTCTCGTACATACGTATATTGACAGTGCTGGTATAATATTATTGAAATTTAATGATTTCTTTTTTACGTTGCATGGATAGATACGCTGCCTTGGTTGTTGCCAAAGAAGGTTCGTATAGAAAATCAACGGCACCGTAGTCGGTCCTTCCGTTAAAGTGCTAAATTGATGAATGAGTCGCGGAAACGAGAAACATTTCATTGTATCTGGCACTGGCACACCTAATAGAACTTGTCCAAGTTTATTATTCGGCTTGGAAAAGCGTAAGCTTAATGGCCGCAAGCTAAATTCAGGGCCTCGGTATAAGTGACTGATCTTTTCAGTTATATTAGAAAATTCGCAAAGATTATTTTATAAATATAAATATTTTATGTAATATATACATAATATTTAAATAATAATTTTAACTATATGAAAGATAATAATTATATGATAACTATATCACGAAAGACGTCAAAATATTATAAGTTCTCAGAGAATAGATCAAACAATGTATTATAAAAATGTATTATAAAAATATCGAAGAGCCAAGCTGGAGACATCGAAGAAAAATGTACATAATGGGGAAGACGTGACTTTAAGGCGGTGGCTTGACAGTTCTGTCCATCCCCTGCCATTAAGTAAATTGACTACTACATACCGTCTAAATAACAATCTAATTTTCATAATGTATTCTCATCCTTCTGTCGAAACGCGTCACTTTCTCCCCTTAATATTTTAATTGCATTATCTTTTACCAAAAATTTGTTACTTTATAAGATAATATCAATTGAATATTAATAATCATATCTGGAACACCGGTAGAGCTGGGAAATTAAAAATTTCACGTTACGACGTAACGGATGTTTGCTTTACAGCTGATGCAATTTGATCCAGATTTAGGGCTCAACCCTACCGTTCTTTCAGCTTTGCACAGGTCATCTCCCTAAAACTACTCCCTGAGTAGTGACCAGCTGTTATGGCCGGCAAACGACTGTCACTTAAAGGATTTGAGTTGATCTTGATTCGACACATATTACGTTCGCGTTTGTTGCGCTTTCTATCATACTTAGAAGATTACATCCAAATTAGAAGTAATAGGATTGTCTTTGTCCAGTGAAAATGTTGCACTTTTATGATCATTCATTTTTATGATAAATTTCTGTGTAACAAAGTTTACATCTATCACATATTAATTACTTAATATTTGCAAATATTTCAAGCAAATTCTTTTTAATATTATTTAATATTTTTATTAACATTTTTTAATATTTAATTAAGTGCTTTAATAACTACGTTTTAAATTATAATTAGAACATTGTAACACAATAATTAAAATTAAACAAAAAGTTTTACTAATATCAGTATACTTTCATTTATTAATCTAATCTCTTTCATTTACTAACATATTTTTATTTACTAATACTAGTGAAGTTTGTTTCGCAGGGAATATTTTATTTTTAGTCGTTCAATTTTTATTAAGGAATAATTAATTATAATTGATCAACAAATATAGCAGCAAAACTTAATCAATTAGTTTACTAACATTATATACATGTATATATAAAATTACGTATATATATATAATTATCCTGAATAGACGCTTTATTATAGCAAAACCAATAAATTTGTTTCAGCGACGAAAGCAAATCCTAACGTAATCGAGTTTGGTGGCAGCGCAACCGCAGGATCAAGCTCGTCTGTGTATGGGAGTACTGCCAGCGGAACAGTGAGCTGCATCGCTGGTTCGTTGGCTGGTATTGCTGGTAATTTCAACAATACCGGCCGTACAAATTTTACAAATAAACAGCTCACCGAATTGGAGAAGGAGTTCCATTTCAACAAATACCTGACGCGAGCAAGACGCATCGAGATCGCCTCCGCGCTGCAGCTTAATGAGACGCAGGTGAAAATTTGGTTTCAAAACAGACGAATGAAGCAGAAAAAGCGTATAAAGGAGGGTCTACTACCGGCGGACAGCACAAATGTGACACCTCTGAGCGGTGCTAGAAGCAGCAGCAATTCCCCGACGGGCTCGTCCAGCCACGAAATCGGCAGTCTTGGCTTGTCCAGTTTCACTAGCGACAATAGTAGGGAATCACCTCCATCTTCCAAGGATTGACGCGCCTTTTGCTGCAGTAACGAGCGGCACTATGGTCTATGATTCGATTAGTACAGCTCAATGATTGATGATGAATCGGAGCTAATAAAAATTTAATAAGAATCATGGCAACTTACTGCAGCCACGAGTCATTTTCTAATTCACTATTTCAGGCTGCATCATAAAAATACGACAGATGAGTTAAGACAAGTAATGTCATTCTGTATCCTGAAAGTAGAGGTATGTGATATATGTATATACGGGACGCAACTATCCTCCCGTTTCTAGACTATAGAATATGACATTAATTGTGCTTTAATTCCATCATATTGTACGATTCATCTGGATTCAAACATTATGAAGGAAAAATTACGGTCACCACAAAATTTTAATACGATTTCATATTATATTATTGTATTATGTTGCTATCTCCGAGGCATCTTATCGTCCCGACTTTTAGTCTTTTCAATTAGCACATTACAGATTGTAGAATGTACATTAACATTATTATTTATTTGCATGCAGCGTTGTACGTATTACGTTAGTTTTTTTAATGCATCTTAAAATTGTATAAGTTTGAATTCAATCTTTCGCAATTCACATTCTCCCCAAGGTTACCACATACCTCAGTTTATGATATTTATAGTTATAAATGTAAATGCGAATGATCGAACAAACATTGTTTATATATAGCTAATTTCTCTAAAAAAACCTCTAAAATATTACACTTCTGATATTTATGTATAATAAATGTAGCGACTATATTTCAAATACAAAGTTCTCAAGTTCTGTTCTCAAATGTCAATATTTTATCAATAACATATATAATGTGTAATTTTTTTTATTATCCCCTTGACAAAAGTTTAATTTAATGTACATTTGTAAAAGTTGGATAAATAAAAGGTGAAATTGTAATTCAGCTATGTAAAATGAATAAAATAATATTAAATTACATCATATTTTTGATTAAGAATAAGATGATAGTAATTAAATTCTGTTATCCGGTTATCTATATTAATTCTTCCAATACCATATAATTAATTACATGTTAAATGATTTTATTTTAAAAAATCACATTTTACCAATTTATTATGTATCAGTTTAAAATGTATAATATTAATAAAAATAATTTACAAATATAACAAATAACAGAATATAAAAAATAACATTAAACTATATATAACTAATTAAACAATGCGAATACAGATACACAAATGTTTAAATTAATAAAGCAAATGTTTTATATGTCTTTATTTTGAAACTAAACTAAGAATTGCTAAGAAAATGAATAAAAAAGAATATTTCAAGATGTCTATATTTAATATATGGTAGTGGAAGAGTTAATTTTATTTTGCTACGAAATAATTACAATAATCTTAAAGATTATTTAAACAATCTATAAATGTTAAATATATATGTAACATTGCTATTGAACTTATAATAAACGACATATTATATCAATTTAATTTTTAATTCAAAGAAAGTTTGACTACATAATTTATAATTGATTATTCGAAAATCGAAACCTCAATCAATCCTAAAGCGTCGAATTAATTTGATTTCTTTATAATATTTATCTTAACGCATAATAACAATGGTAAACAGAAATATTCCTGATAATGATAAGATTTTGCGAGTAATTATATATATAATAGTGATGATCTAATAAATGTATATCTAATTCTCCCCCAACAGTGTGCATGTATTTATATGTAAATAATATTTTACGCAACTACGGGCCAATAAAATTAATCAGTATCCATAAATCTCTATATAAACTGAAATTAATTAATTTACTCGGATTAATATCCAAAATAAAATGTTAATAAGTTTCCATTTCAAGCTTTTATCAACAAATTTATAAGAATAATATAATTACTACTACATTATCAAGTAGATTGAAAATTCGCACATTTAAATGTATACAAATTAGTATAATCGTACATACACATATTTATGTGAATTATGTGAATGATGGTCCATTTAATTGCTCTGTACCTATAAAGACATTCCTACTACGATAAAATGTCATTAGTCTATAATACTATGTATACTTCTGTAGAAAGAATAAAATATTATTGTATTAATTATAGTACTGTTTATTTAGAAATTATTTTTGACCTTTATTATATAAAAATTAATTTTGTCTTTTATGAAATATTCTTGAAATACAATTATCTTTATGGTATTATTTATATTGTACTATTTGCAAATTTATAAGAAATACGATTTCTGTATTATCAAGCTTTCTACATTTGCAACTGATGTAAAAATTATACGATATTCTTCTTGCGTTGAATGTTAATAGGATATCCTTTAGATGGCACCAATTTATAGTGAAAAGCACAGTAAAAATAGTTAGTATTAGACGGTTAGTCGTAGATAAACGTAACTACCAGTTGACGACTTTCGAGATAATTGAAGAATATGGACATTATTAACTGTCGATATAATTATTAGATTAATAAAATTTGATTAATTAACTTAATATATATTAAATTCATAATTTATTATTATACAAATACTTTACAAATAAGTATATAATATTTACAAAATAATAATATCATTGTATATTGCTGCGAAACTATAATTTTTTGATGCATGAATAATCAAGCTTGATTGATCACAATATAATTACATTTTAAATAAAAACTGGAAAAATAAAGAAGTAAATATACCATGTTATTAATTTAATTTATATTAATAATATTTATATTAATATTTATATTAATAATATTTATATTAATAATATTTATATTAATTAATTTTATATTAATTTTTAAATATAATGATAATGAGTGCGTCAACAAATGTGCTGATAATATATTTCAATAGACACTCCAGTACTAAAAATCTATAGTATACGTCACATAACCTATAGATTTTTAGTACCAATAGTGTACACTTTCGAAAGAAGTTCCTGATTGGTAAACTAGTACATCCAATCAAAAGCAAATAAATCAAATGGTTATAAAACTTACATTTTCTGAACGCAAACATGATTTGGAGCAATACGTCATATAGACTTCAGTTCACGAGTGAAAAGTTAGACAACTATTGTTTGCTATCAGTGTATTAAATAATGCCGACTGGTAACTTCGTTCCGTAAAATGTGAAAAATTAACAGAAAAATCTATAACAATGAATAAGGAAGCACGAATTTCTTATCAAGAAATGGCGCAATATCGCGAACGGTTAGTCAATCAGAAAGAATTTTTGACTAACATACTATCTAAAATCGAAAAACAAATACTTGCTTTACAGGTTTGTAAACATTTAGATTTGTGATTCAACCAAACATTTTTAATCTTGATATATGAAAAATAACATGATTAATCTTGTAGGTTGAGCGATTACATTTGAGAAACACTCTACTTGGAACAGAACGTCCAGAGCAAGAAATATTGCCGGATGTATCAATGGAAAATAAATATATAGGAACTAAGCAAATAACAGATGATCCAAAAGATCTAACCCAACAATTAGATTTATCTGTAACACCGTCCATAAATAACTTTGAAGAAGAAACCGAAGATGATGATCCATTGATTCTTTGGATTTAACATAACTTATTATATATATATATATATATATATATATATATATATATATATATATATATATTATATATTATAAATTTAGACTTGTTACATTGTGATTGCGTTAATACTATGAAAAAAAATCTTATAGTATAGACATTCACATATTTTATGTAAATTTATAACATTTCTATAATAAGAGTATATATAAAATTACACATTCTTTGCATTTATTTTTGTTACTTATATTTTATATTTACAGGACAAATTTTTACAGAGTATCGTGTTTGGCATTCTAATTAAGGGAGTTCAAAGAAATACAGCAACAAATATGAAAACAACAAAAAATATTATTTGATTTTAGATCTAAGACTTCTATGCTGCTTATAAATTTAAAGTTGGCAAAAAGAGATGCTCAGGCATATTCTAATGCAAAGCGTTTTCGAATATTGTTACTTGAATATTTCTAACTTGAAATAAATCTAAATAATTTGATTGAACATTATGATGGATAGCCTTGTGGCGGTGAGCCAAGTTGTGATGAATCTTCGACTAATGCCGGTGGTTTGAATTGTTCAGCGGAGAGACGTGTGAAACAAATTCCTACACCTTCTATTAATGCCAACAGCACTCCGCCAATGATTGCACTGCCTACCATTGCTGGTAAGCCATTTCTTGCTGCTAAAATCCCACCAGTTGCAGCACCACTAATGATAGAGTTATAAGGATCTTCCTTTCCTCCTCTAAAGTGAACTAAGGTACAATCAATTGTGGAAAACATCCCACCCCATACAGCAAAATTTCCAGCAATGATAGGTGCTCGTTGTCTGATTGCTACAACACTGCCTGTAAAACGCTGCCTCCATCCACTTGGTGCATTACGGAAGCCTTTAATGCTTTGGAAAATTGCTCCACCTATGACACCCATTGTAAAGGCGCCTCCGCAATCGTCTACTATTCGCCAAGGACATGGTTCTCTTGCATATTCTTCCATATTTTAGATATCTATGATATAAGCAATGAAAAATTAGTTAAAGATATAAAATAATATATAGAAAGTAGATAACTTTCTATAGTAAATTAATATAATTTCAATAAAACACATGAATAAATACTATTGCAAACTATTGTAAGTATATTTATAATTATAATTATTTCATTACAATCACTATATTACATTACGTTTATGTTTATGGTAATGTCAGAATTAAAACAGAAAAAATTTAATTATATTTTTTTAATGTTTAAATACATAACTACTAGAATACATTATTCAAGAATATATATTTATATAGATGTATATTTATATATTCCGGTAAAAGAAAATTACGAAAGTTGTCATAAAAGTTACGTAGTAAACAAGGTTAGAATAGTATGTTCTATTGTTTCCAAGTTAAAACTCATGTAACATCTTACGATATCTCGTTATATATCAAAGACAAATCATTCTTTTATGTGTAAAATAATATATCTTGGTATTTACCGTACAATTCGTTCGATAAAAGTCTTTAGTGAGGTGCACAAATCCTTAAACACACGACACTTCGTCCATTAAGTATATGAAAAGATAGATAACATGCTATTCAAGTTGAACGAATCAAATGTATTTCCTTGTATTTCCTGCAGCACCAACAGAAGATTAATTGTATATTTTGAAACGAGATAAAAATTATAAAGCGAGGAAATTTACTAGAATATCTGTAACTTCATATGTATCAAAAGCTAAATTTCCTTTTATAATTTTCAAGATACACAATTGATCACAAGAGATCCCTAATATTTTAATTCAATTTTTAATAATATTTACCAAATTAAAATTTTATATAATTAGTACTTTATATATTTTAATCATTCTTATCATAATTTTTGTAAGATTTTCCTACCTACTCAAATTTTAATAAAAACAATTTTAATGTCTTTACAATTACAGATAATATTTAACAATTTACAAATAATATTTTGGTTAATTTTTAATTAATAAATGTTTTCTGAATTAAGATATAATATATAATTAACATTTTAAGTAATTTTTTAATTTAAAAATTAATAACTTTAATAATAACTTTAAAGATTAAATTTAAGCTTTAATTATAATAGATATAGATAAGATAGTAGAATTATAATTTTATTATTATAATAACTTATTAAATAAATTTTATAAATTATAATTAAAAAAAATTTAATTGCAAATGATAATTTCTTTGCCTACTCGAATTTTTATAGTATAATAATTTTTTTACTTATTTTACCGAATTTTTATAATATAATTATTTCTTTGCCCACTCGAATTTTAATATCTGCCTATCCGTCAATTCTCTCATAATATTCCTATCTATTCACAAATTTTTATAGTATTCCTATCGTATAGTGAATTAATTCTTATTAATTTTTTGTAGGCTAAAGTACTAATTCTTTTTATATCTCATTAGTGTCGGTCCACAATAAGTATTTAATCTTTAAGCCGTAAGAAATTGATCAAAGTCGATTATTCTTTTCATATTCGATTATAATTGATCAATTTCTTACTTCTTAAAGCTTAAATCACCTATTGTGGACCGACACTTACATATCTAGGCCTATAATTTTAAGAAACTCAACTTTGTTTCTTTATGTATCTAATTTAGCGATACTAATTTTATAGGTATAGATTACGAAATTTTGATATAAAGCAAATATAAATAAAATAAAAATTGACACAATTTGATTGATGAAACAAAAATTATTGCATTCTGTCAATAACATAAATAAAATATTTTATATTATGCCTATATTAATGCTACTTTACCAACAATCAGTCAAGTAAAATTTTTTCATTATCTTTCACGGTAAATGCAATGGGTATTTGCGTGACCGACATAATTCATTTGAGAAAGTCAAATCCATGTGGTTATAGATTATTTATCCGTCAGACATATAGACATCTATACCGATCAAGTATTTTATGATAAATTATTGTGTTAAGATAAAGTTACTGACAATAAAACTATCTCGTCCCATTTGATGTGAAAATTTCATGAGCCAAAATTTACAACCACTTTATTTACTTTTATGTAAATATATTCCATATAAATAAAAACCGATGTACCTTGCACAAACTAGTTTAATCGCAATTATTGCTTGAATTGAATTAATGATACATGCAAAACAATCTCTTAAAAGCATGTTTTAATAATATATTCTTAGTCAATTTTTTTTCTATAGTAAAAGCAATAAATTGTATATAAGTATAAAAGAAATTAAGTTATATATTAAAATATAATAAAGATACATTTAATTGTTTTTCGATTTAATTCTTCTTTAATATTTGATTGAAAATATTTGATTGAAAATACTTGATTTACTACTTTTTTTCGAACGAGAATTGTACAAGAAAAAAACAAAATTTTTGAATAAATAACATTTCTAAAATTTGCTATTATTAATATTAAAACTACTGGAAAGCATTGTCTTATGATATTTTGCGAGGTATAATATAAAAGCAGATACTCTTTAATTTGGCCTAGTTTCTAAGAGAGGGTTGTATTATGTATCATGTTGTATTATGTGTTGTTTCTTTACTATCCATTTATAGGTAGATTACATCAGTATATTATGACTTTATAATTAATGCATCTCTATTATGACATCGTAACTGTTGCATCTCGCATCATCGCTTTTCTAAAAAGCAAAAAGCTTAACAAAGATATGTGTCAATAAGAAATTTTTCAGTAAAAAATAAAAATATTTGTAAACAGTAATATTAAATTTTGTTGTAACTTGCTTCTTTTATAGTTTATAAAAAATATAAACATTAAAAATAATAAAATTGACATGTTTTGAACATAATTTATTTATTTATAATACGTAATTATAAATAAATACAATGCATTGCTATTCATATAATTATATATAAATAAACACTTTATTCTGATAGATAATATTATGACAAAAGCATTATAATTTATTAAACATTATCTGGCCATCTGTAACGATTTTTAGTGGTAAAATCCTTATTGATGAGCACATTATATTTAAATAAATAATGACGTTATAGGACAGTGTTATTTATTACACTAATATTATATATTTGTGTGTTGTAATAAACTACGAAATCAATGCTCTCTATTAAATTTTATTTTATATGTTTAAATTTATGCCGTAATAATTCCGAATATTTGAATGTTAAAAACTTATATATGATTAATAAAACATAAATCATTTACGTTTCACTGCATTAGCTTTTCCTAAGCTAATTACCTTCTTCAATTCAAAAACAAAGTCATTCTAACACGATACAAACGAAGAAGCGATTTTCTAATGGTTCGTTATTTTCTAAAGATAACCCGTTCACGATAAATCGATATATGTCCCCGGTTCTCTTTTATTCTTTTTTTTTTTATTCTTCGTTACGTTCGATTGTGTAATGGGCTCTGTACATACGCGACCGTTCCGTAACTGTGCATACATGCACCGTACCCGGGTCGGGAATTCGTGTCCAGTGCATCTGTTGCATCCCGCACGCAGGTGAAACGCGC